GAGTTCTGCTGGGTGGTGATTAATTGGCAAGGATAAAGTCAATTAGAGCACACATTAATTCTCTGCTGTATTTATCTTGGATGTGCTCAGTTGGGTTGGGGAGTCTAGGACGGATTTGCACATAGCCAAACCTCTCTGCTCTGGCCCCAAGGGGACACATGGGGACAGCACAGTCCCAGCCCTGTGCTGGGACGGGTGGCACGTCCAGGGGTCTGGGCACCCAGGCTGCTCCCAGTCTGAGTCTGGCTCTGGCTCCTGCTCTCCGGTTCAGTTTGGCCCCTGCTCAAGTTCAGCAAAACCAGCAGATCAGGTTCAGTTCTGGTTCAGGGAAAGGGCAGCAGTTATAACCTGTTGCTGCTCAGCCTGCCTCCCTGCTTTGAAGACAGACAGACCCTGAGTACAGTCACACAAGCTTCTAGCCATAGAAACCAGGCTAAAACAAATACTGAGGTTGATGCGGGGCTATTTGCACTGCTGGGGTCCCCAGATTCCCCTTGTTCTTGCAGCTGGCCACATCATGATGCTGCTGCCCTGCCTGAAGTACTGAGGAGCACCAACCCGAGCCCCGGCCCAGGGTGCTGGCTGGCGGCTCCAGCTCTGCCCACCCTGGCACACGCTGGGTGTTGGGGCAGGAAACGTGGGTCTGGCGGGGCCAGTGAGAGCCTCCTGCATCTTCCCCAGCGCGAGACGTGGGGCTGTCCCAGGCTGCAGCTCACTCACCTTCCCCGGCGCCCGTGTTATCGCCCTCGGCCATGGGGAAGCCGCCCGCTGCCCCCCCGGGGGAGTGGGGCAGGCTGAGCCCCACCTGCAGCATGTGCCCAGACTCCGGTGCACCCCACTGCCGGGTCCCCTCTGTCCCTGTCACTTGCTCTGACTTTTAAGGCAAGTGCCAGCCCGCCGGCACAGGAGGTTTATTTGGTGTAAATAGGGTGAGGGGTGGAGCAGCTCCCGTGCCCGCATCGCCCCTTCCTGCCCCAATTCTGCGCCGAGGCCGGGGAGGAGGATGTAAACACCCCGTGGGATGAGATAGCCATCAAACCAGCAACATGACCATTAAACTTAATAATTTATTTTTCCCAAGGATAACCTTCATTTTCCCGCTCTGGGGTTCACTCCCTTCAACAGCATCACGGGGTGAGGCGTGTGCTGCGGGGGTGAGGGAGGGCCGGGGCTGCCGAACCAACCTGCTGCAGCAATCGCCCGTCCTTGAACGAAGGAAACATCAACACAGCCAGTGGGTTTGCAACCGCTTCCCGCTGGATGGTCCCGGGGGAGTCGGAAAGAGAAGCACGTGAGCAGCAAGTGCCGGGAGGCGGGTGGCAAGGAAGAAATTGGGGCCACGAGGACTATGTGACGCCCTTCTGCAACTGCCTTGTGCACCCTTAAGGACGCTTTTTGGGCTGAGTGTGCCGGGGCTGTGCTGGCCATGTTTGTGGCACTTCTTTAGCACCGGCTGGCAAACCCACCAGGGGAAATTTGGGGCGATGCAGTCGTGCACCCCGCCACGCCCCGTGCCTCCTGTGTACACAGTCGCTCAGTGGGAGCACAAAATGTAATTGTTGCAGGCACAGCTCTGGTGCTTCAGCGTTTCCAATCTGTCCTCCTTTGAAATGGTTGTTATTGATTGACTTTCAGCCTCAAAATACATTGCAGAATTACAAACCGTATGTTGTAGTCACAGAAAAAGAGCTGAACTGGAGAAAAAATGCCCTCTAACAGGTGAGAGATGCTTCCAGCAACATCGCACCAATCCGACATTGCTACCTGGAGAACTCACAGTTCAGGCTGCACTTAAAAGTGGGCATTTTTGTAGGCATCTTAATTTTTTTTAAGAATTCTTTTTCCTTAGAAAATCAGATTTTTTTTCTTGTGTGGTAACAGCAATCGCAGGTTGCTCCTGCTTTGCCTCCCTACCTGTGGGTCTGCAGGGTCTGCCTGCATCTGCAGCACAGCCCTGAGCATCCTCCCGCACCAGTGGTCTCCGGGCATCTGCTGCCAAGCAAGAGCGGTCCCTCTGCAGACCTCCACCTTCCTGGACGAAGCACCTCCTCCGTGATGTGCCAAATTCTGGGAAGAGTGGCATGGCTGTCCTGTTGTCCCTCTCCTCCCTTTGCTCCTAGCAAGCTGGGAGCTGGAGGAAGTGGGGGCGAGGGGCTGTGCCAGCGAAGGGCCCCCCGGGGTGCTGTGCTGGGTGGGAGGGAGCCGAGGGGCTGTTTCCCAGCAGGCAGCTCCTGCTCTGCACCCAGAGACTGTCTGTGCGCTCCATGGGTGGCTCTGCTCCACACACTGTATCCAAAGGGGCGGGTGACAGCCCACAGCTCCGCTCCCGGGGGGTCCCCATGCTGCACCCCACTCTGGTTCCCAGTGATGAGGGGTTGTTTATTCTCTTTCCAACTCAAACCCTTTTGCCCAGGTTCTTACAGCAGCAGGTCCTCCTGACTTTCCACAGGTCCTTGCTGGCCACCTTCTCCTCATTTGCTTTTTCTAGGACAGCAGATGCTTCTCCCTGCCAGAGAAGCAGCTCTGAAGCTTCCCGCAGCCCCCCCAGCCGCCGGCCTGCTCCCCGGCAGACGCTCAGCTCTGCACCGAGAGAGGAGATGGAAGTGAATTAAGGACTGTGCGAGATGGATCATTGCTTCATGCGTTTTTAATGGTGAAAAAATTAAATATGTAGAAGCTGCGCCAGCTCCGGATGAACCACACAGCTGAAGGCCATAAATGTTTCATGTTAACTGCCTGCGAGAGGAACCAGCCCGATTTGGGTGTGCAAAGAGAGCTGGTGAGCAGAGCTTCCTTCACGTTGGGGATGGAGCTGGCACCGGGGGGGCTGCCAGGGCCGGCTGGGCTCCCCGAGCCACCCCAGGCTGCTTCGCTTGGTGCCCAGGACGCTGCTGGCACATGGGTCCTCCTCAGCCACAGCTTTACGGTGCTGAGCGCCCACCTCAAGAGCACGGGTCTCAGCCCTGCCACAGCAGCCCTGTCCCGCAGCAGGAGGGGGATGTGTCCCCATACCCCACCCCAGCACGTCCCCAAGCCCTGCCCAGCCACTGCGGGAGAGCAGATATGACCCCAGGTGGTGCCTGGGGGTGCTCAGCACCTCCCCAAAACAGCCCCCCGGGTGGCATTGCTCTGGCAGTGCTTGCTCCCCACTGCGCGTGCAGCTCCTTGCCCAAAAGCCGCCCCAGCCCCAGCCAAAGGGGCTTTGCCACCGGTCCAAGCGCTCACTGGGAGCACAGTGGGCGTTGCAGCCGCCTGTAAATATGCTAACGAGGATGCGCTCGTTATCGTGGCATGCCACAGCAGCGCCGTAGCAGCCCCGGGTTGTGAGGGCAATAAAACATCGCTACCAGTGCCTTGCTGCTGCTTTTCGGGCACCCATACCGATGTTCACATCTGCATTGATTTGCATCATCAGTTGCACCCACAAAAAGTGAAGGAGGCAAATCCTGGTGGATCAAGTGTGGGAAAGGGTCTTTGGGCTCAGATGGAAGCTGCTGCAAAAGCTGGCCACTTTCTGCAGAGTTGAAACACTGACCATGCCAACACCGTCCAGCATCGTGTCGGCTTCCCGGCAGCCCAGCCCCGCTTGCTGCTGCTGGCAGGGGGACAGGGATGAGGGGGACAGGGACATCTGCGTGGGCAGGGGAGGGCAGCGATGGTCATCTGGAGATGGGCACGGTGAGGGGATGGGGCTGAGGATTTGGAGAAGGGAAAGGACAGTGCTCTGGGATGATGCAGCACCGAGACACGTCCCACATGGTGCTGGATGGTCTCAGGGCTCGGTCCCAGCAGTGACCCCGCTGGGGCGACACCTGTGGAGGCTTCTCGTCCTCTTCTGTTATGCTGGTACTCAATGCTGGTGCAAAAACCCCAAAAGAACAAAAAAAAGCAACATTTTCCACAAAAGACTCCACTCCTTTCTTAACTTGCAAATCACCATAGTGGATCCTGGCATGCAATAACATGGGAATAACACTGTTGGGATGCAGAGTATTGATTCCTGCTTCTCAGCACTTGTTTGGTCCCTCCAGACTTCGCCGCCCAGAAGTAAACTGCTCTGAAACTCAGGGCTGTTATTTCACAGAATTACAGAGGCTGGAAAAATTGCCTAAGCACCGAGTAGCTGGTCCTTTCATTGGGCTGGATCTTTGCATCCTCCAGTGTATTTCATGCTTTTCTAGAAGATGAAAAAGGGCTCCTGGAAAATCAGGATGAAGCAATGGGCTTGGATGCAGTTTTCCTCCTGACCCAAGCACATTTCTGCTGTTCCCAGGTCCCCAAGGGCACAGGGACGCCCCAGCCTGAGGGACACTGGCTGTGCCCCTGCACTTTCTCTGCTTCTTGTTTTTTTCTGTCCCAGTTATTCTCCAACCCGCTGTACCAAAGCTTCCCTGCCACAGTTTGAGTTGAAGGTTCCCCTGCTGCTCTGCTTATAGCTCTACATTTTAATCCAGACCATGGCATTATTACCACAACAGCAATACACAGGTGCCCCAATGGCATCCAGGCACCTGAGTTGGCTGGAAGCTGCATGAAAGAGACTGCGGGTGCCCTGGGGAGCTGCCACTGAGTTCAGAGCTCGCCATCAACACGCTAAATTGAAAAGATAAAGCATTTCCTTCTTTCTCAGCAGCGAAGGCCGGAGGCACACGACACCCCAGGCTCGGCCCGATGGACAACCCTTTGTCCCTCCTGTCGCAGCAGCATCACTGAGGGCACACTGCAAAAATCCCAAATCTCACACACACACCGAACCACCCCCCCCCCCCCCCCCCCGGGCTTTATGTAAAGCATCGAATACTACGTGGGGGTCCCAGCAGCGCCCCAAGGGATTGCAGAGGTTTCCGAGGGGGCCCCGGCTGCAGGTTAAACGGGATGCTACGCGCTGCGAGGGCTGAGGGCCGCGCTGAGGGCCGCCATGGCCGGCCCCGCCCCGCCCCGCGCCCCGCGCCTGCGCAGCACGGCGGCGTTTGGGCCTCGGCGGCGTTTGGGCCTCGGCGGGCGCCGTCGTCAGGTGCCCCGAGCCGGATGCGCGCGTCTGTTCCGGGCGGCGGCGGCGGCGGCCATCATGGCTCCGGACCCCTGGTGAGCGCCGGGCCGGGCGCTGCTCCCCGCCGCGGGGCTCCGGGCTGCCCGCGGGGCTCCGGGCTGCCCGCGGGGGCTGCGAGCAGCGGCGGGGCCGGCGTGCGGGGCGAGCCCGGCCGGCTGCGAGCGGCGGGAGGGCAGGGGCGGGTACCCTTTCCCTGCAGAGAGTGCCCCCCTGTCCCTGCAGGGAGTGCCCCCCTGTCCCTGCAGAGAGTGCCCCCCTGTCCCTGCAGAGAGTGCCCCCCTGTCCCTGCAGAGAGTGCCCCCCTTTCCCTGCAGAGAGTGCTCCCCTTTTCCTCAAAAGAAAAACAAAAAAAAGCTCCTTCTGGGTAAATCTAAAAAGCACTTATGGCTTTCCCACCTGCATTGGTGAGGCGCGGGGGTGCCCCTGCAGAGCGGGGCCGGGGGCTCAGCTGCCGCCTCTCTTCCAGGCTCTCTCTGCACGGAGCTGCTTGCCAGGTCGCCCAGGAGGTCGCCGAGAAAATCCAGGAGCGTAACCGGTACCAAAGGGCCGGGGAGAGTCCAGCCAAGGTACCGCTCTGCCGGCAGCGCTGCGCTTTGCAAGCGTGGATTTCTTTTTTTTTTTTTTAAGCTTTTAACTGTTCTAAATACTAATTAAGCAGTAAATTTTCAGGAGTCAGATGTGTCCAGGAAGCTGCAAGTCCTGGATTTCCTGCCGCTCTGGCTGTAGAGGGGAGCAGCAGCCAAGTGACAGGGCCAGGAGCGCTGTGGGAAGGGGGTCACATTCCTGCACCTCCTTTGTCCAGGCTGTGTCAGGTCATCCTTGCTGCCAGCTGCAAATCTGCAGATTAAAAGTTATGTTTAATAGCAGGAATCTAATGCTCATGGTGTGTTCTTTAAGGTTTCTGTAAAGAAAACTATGGTTTCTAAGTGAACAGTAGGTTTTCAGGGTCACAAAAATAATCTTGGATTTAACAGTAATGAATCCTTCATGCATGCAATAATGATGGTTTTACAAAAAGAGAAAGAGAGAAGCCGTGGGAGTGTTAGGCACATGCTGCTGACTGCTCAGGACTGTTGCTGCCAGGAACAGAGCTGTTCAGAGATCCTGAGTCTAAGAGATGTTGGGATTCATGTCAGCTTCCCTGCACTCCTTTATGTGTAAATATTGAATAGATGTCTTTTCACCACAAGGCTGGCTTGTTTCCTTTCTGTAGTGGCTGTAAGTCAGAAGAAATACGAGTTTTGCAGCCTTTTTAAGCTACATTTCTAGCAAAATAGAAGACCAGAGTTAAATATGAATGAGAAGCAGAAGTTAGAGCTTACCTGGGAGTATTATGTTCTCTACCTTTTCACGCTTCCTGTTTAAAAACTAAAAAGATTCTCAGGAGACTGCCTTCTTTAGGACTAAAAACCTCATCCTTCCTTTCAAGAGGTGTGGGAGCCTGCTTGATAGCACGCCCTAGGGATTGTGCCATTAACTTCTCTCTTGACTGATTTTCATCCTAGGATGAAAACCTGTGCGAGCCCTTGAATTAGTCTTTTATAATAACTTGCATAAATCAGAACCCACTGATTTATTTTGTAGACTTTGCCCCTCTGTATAGCAGGGTTGTAATGTGATGTGTGATCACTGTATCTTCTTTGCCAGTCTCTTTACTGATAGCTTTTACAATAAAATGTCACTTCTGAAATGTTACCTTTAAAGAAATGTTGAAGACAAATGTGTAGGCTTTGTACAATAATCAGTGCTTTTTAATGAATGACTCAAATTTGGCATGAATTGAAAAGTGATTTCAGAAGGCCCAAATAAGTGGGATTTAAGAGAAATATTTTGTCTAGCTGTAGAATTGAGAGGAGTGTTTAGGGGTGGTGTTTAAACTCCTTGCTTTCAAGATGATGAAGTATTAGAAATTGTAAAGATGTACTCAAGCAATAGAAGACTAATAAAAAGATTGCTGCTTAATCCATCTGTATTTATAGAGGACAGAGTTCTCTATTTCCATCATTTCAATCTATGATGTGTTCCAAAAAACCCCAACAAAGTGTCGTATTAGTGTTGTTTGAAGCTTTTCTTGTACTGTAACTCTCCTAGGTTATGTTTTATGGAAACATTACATGGCTGGCTGACTTCTTCATAAAATCATTTGTTCCATGCCCTGTGTTTTCCAAGCACAGTTTCCCTTTAATCCATTAACAGTTAAAGATGAATATTTGGCAGTGTTTGATTCTACTATAAACAAGTTTCCAACAATGAGAGAGTTGTTTTCATAACAGAAATGCATGTTGAGAAATCCATGGCTGAGCAGTCATATATTCTATGACTCCTGAATGTTTTAGCAGAGGAAAAAGTCTTTGTACAGTATTTGCTGGGTAGGGCGAATGTAAACAAATTTTTATTTTGAATCGTATTTTGCCATTAGCATGGCTAAAAAAAACTTCTTGCTTATTGCTGAGCAAAAAATAGAGCGTAAAATTTAAAATGGAAAAAAAAACCCCAAGCCCTGTAGGGGAAGATTTCAAGCCAGCACTTACCATCTGTGAACACTGCTCTATTGAGCTGATCTTAAAACTTCCATTGGTTTCTTTTTTCTTCTTTTCTCTAATGGAAGCGAAATCTTTTGTTATAGCGCTGCAATATCTGGCCAGAGTAGCGTTCTTCACCTGGACATAAGTCCATATGACATTAAAAGACCTTTTATTACCCGATTGCAGAGCTAGAGGATATGCAGTGGCTTGAGCTTTCCTAACAGCACTTATACCCCATCCTGGCTTTGGAAACATTGCCGTGGCATCTGGCTGTTCTGGGTCTGAAGGTGGATTTTGGCTGCGTACTCTCAAGGCTGCCTCAGTGTAGTTGCATCTGCCTTCCATCGTTGTATTTGGTAGTATTTGAGAACCAGTCTCGCTGAGTCAGAGAGATTTAACCTTCTGATGCTATCAGGGCATTTTTCAGGATCTGTGCTCCATCCCTGTGCAGATACCATGTGCAGTTTAGCTGTAGGCAGGATCCTTGCAGCACGGATGAGCGTTCAGTGGGACTTTGATGTCTGGCTGCTGCTTCTGTCTTCAAGAATGCAGGAATGAGAGTCACAGCAAATATTCCTTCTCTGTTACTAGTTCATCACACAGAGCATCTAAGGTTGCTAACTGTTAAAACCCACAATGGGGCTAAAATCTTGTAAACAAAAAGCACGTAAAGCCTTAATTAGGATGACTTGCATAGTTAATTGCAGTTACAGTGTTTTTTCCTAGTATGTTCTACATAACTGGAATGAAAAGAAAAAAACATTTAAGGAGGAAAAATTCAGAAGATAATGTCAGCCTAACTTGGGAAGGGGTGGGGAGAGCGGAGGAGGATTACTGCAAGCCTCGGGCTTGCTTGCGGCAGGGAAGAATGTGAATGACTTAAATGTGTTTTTAGTAAGAGCAGATACATCTGAATCTCGGGCAGGTCAGTTGCGAGAAAGGGTTGGGAGTCATAGGTGCCTCTGAGAAGGGACATGGAGGAAATAATAATTTCTTTGGGGTCTTTAGTTTAAAGTCCAGAGTTCAGTGAAGGGAATGTCTGAACCTGTAGCAACCTTCCCTCTAATCCTGGGAGCTGGGAAACAAACCTGGTGGCAAAAGAAGCTGGCATCTGTATTTGCATTAAAGATCAGAGGAAAGAACTGGAAAACTAACTGGAAAATATTAAAATGTGCTGAAATGTTTTACCCATAAAAGGAATATGTTTATAAAGACTTGAAAGAAAGCTCTCTATATTAAACAGCATTAATGCATTAGAATTGTGTTTACGAAACTAGTACTATTTGTCTCATTATTTTGTAAGCAGTCCAAACCAGTTAACTGTATCGTTTCCTTTGTGGCTCTGAAGGAGGCTTTCTTGGTTTAGAATGGAGTCGTTCACACCAGTATAGCTGAAGTTAAATACATTTGTTGCCCACATGTAGTAGTATTAAATTTTATGGAAATATAACTCAGACAAAAAAAAAAAAAAAGAAAAACTCATACATCTCTCTCTTTCCCTTCAGCTCAATGTGAATATCAGATCATCGTTGCAGAATCTCAGCGAGAAGATCGATCAGCTGAAGGACTTACTGCTTCGGGCTGTATCAACACACCAAATGTATCTGTGTAAACATCAACTCACTCTGTGTTGTAGGGGAGAGTGGAAAAATATGCTGTAATTGCTCTGCCACACAGTTAGGGTTTTTCCCTCATTCCATTTTTAGAAGACTTTGTCACAAGAACTGTAACCATGCTGCTGTTTAATATTTTCATTGCAGCTGTAGTGCAGGAAGAGTTGGGAGCCTGGGAATCCCTGGTATGGTGGGCATGAGCCTGGCTTTGGTTACGTTTGTGTCACAGAGAAGCTTAACAAGATGGTCTGGGTAATCTCAGAGTTGCCATGGTCATGCCTGTGCACTGTGCCAGCACTGCTGACAGAGTGGCTGGTTGGTGAGCTAAGATCATTTGTCTAGCAGAAAAATCACTAATCTGTTGTTTTCTCTTGGCTCAGTTGCTGGCTGCAGGAGTGCCAGTGCTTGCAAAAAGGAAGGATGAAACATTGTTCAGGGTATGGAGAGGGCTGTGGCAGCCCTGACAGAGTAATTTACAAAGCAATGGAACTGCATCTTTCGAATGATGTCAAAACACTTTAAAATATGCCTTAGAAAGAAATCACAGGTTTTCTTCTAGGGGCATTGCCCTGTGGCCTGGCTTGGATTTGCTGCTCCTTCCGTATGCTGGGATAGTCGGGCTTAAGGAGTCAAAGAAGTATGTCTGTCTCCCTGAAGATACCCAGCAGCAATCTGGTTTAACGAATGAATGTTTAATTTCAAGCTTACTATACAGAAGTCCCTTCTAAGCATGGGCCCCCTGAGTGCTGTGCTGATGGCTAGGGTAAAACTTTCCTGTCCACTGAATGCTTGAGAACAGACAAATGGTACTGTTGTGGGAGAAGACATACACAAATCAGTTCAGCTATTTCATAATTTTCTCAACAGTACTTGGGAGAGAGTTAGTAGTCCTTCAAAATGTCACTAAGTTTGATTGGAAAAAGCAAACACATGTCCCCTGTCAAAACTGCAGCACTTCAGGGCATCTTGTCTTTCAGAAATACTGCATAAACTGCTTTTGTGCTGCATCGGTGGCTATCGGGGTGTTCTGCTGCCTTTTGGTTGTTTGCCTGTCACTTGATTTGGAGCTGCTCACCTGGTCAGTGTTATGAGCCTCCAGTGAGATAAGATGTAAAATACCCCGCTGATTTTAAAAGCTTTATTCTATTTGGGCCCTCCCTGTTTATATCATAACAGTATAAGCTGAAGCTTTTTTAAGAAGATTCATCCTTCCCTGAACATAACTTGTGCAGTACTGATGTACATTGTCAGTGTTACAGGAGAGATCAACTGCATAGGACTACTTAGTAATAAATGTTGCGTTTTTGAGGTCAAAATGCTATTCTTAATACTTATGCTAATTGGGCAGTAAATAGCCTTGCAGTTCTCTTACTGCTTTGCGGTGATGTCCTGAAGGTCACTCTGTGGTTGCTGGATGAAACTTTTTATTTGAGACATGTAACCTTCAGAAACACATTTATAATAACAGCAGATTTCATTCAGAAACCTGTGACGTGTCCTTCTCTTAGATGTTACAACCTTTTCTTGAGCTCAAATAATGTCTTTAGTTAATTTTGATGATGGGGAGGTCTGATTTATTTTAAGACTGTATGACAGGTATTATTTTATATAACATAATTGAAGTTCTTCAGTGTTTTTAAGTTTGGTCCTTAACCAAGTGTCGTCAGCACACAGATGGAGGGAGACAGGAGGCAGAATTTGGTGGATGACCTTCTCACACGACAGAAACAACTTCAAGCATCTTATAAGAATGAAGGCACAGAACCAGATGTAATAAGGTATGACATTGTCACCTCAAATGAGCAGTGTGATTTGTGCTTTGAGTATGTCTGAAGATAATGTTAAATGCATCCATTGAACTCATTTACCTCTACGCTTAGCAAACTGTGGCTTCATTTGCTTAGAAATCACGTGCCTTTTTTAGTGACGGTATCATGTATGTTGACAAAGCTGGGGAGGATGGGGGACTGGGGAGTTGCTTGGAAGAGGTAATAGCTAAGCGATCTGGCAGAGTCAGTCACTGAGTTGGAGTGATGGGTGCTGCCGCACAAGGGCTCTGTGAATTGTTGGAAAGAAGACGGTCAGAATGAGACTTAAGCTTCAAACAGTCCCCAGTGATCATATTGTGTAGCAGTCAGCAGGGGCCTTCAGATGGAATACATTTTAATTTCCATTTTGATGTGTCCTTCACAGCTGGGAAAAATAATTATGGTTAATAGCCTTCAAGTTGTCCTCTTCTGCAGTTCTATACTCCCTTTCTAGTGGAAGGAGTTATATTTGTCGTCTCTAACAGGTTCTTAGAAATAATCCATCCTTGGTGGTCTCTGATCAGGAGGAAAGGCAGAGCCTTTTCTTGAAGTGTGAAATTCAGGTGTCTTGCCTCAGTTAATAAATTATTAGCAGTGCAAAAGCTGGGTTTGGTGGGAGTCACACAGGCACTGTGTCTATAACATACAAACCATGTTAGGCATAGACCTGGTATATAATTTTATAAAAAGACATTTTACTGCAGATGTTGCAGTCCTGCAACCTCGATGTGCAGTAGAGTAGGGAAGGATGGTTGGTTTTAGTGCTTTGTTAATAGCCTTTTGAATTTTGTCTGTTTCCAGTCAGGTCAGCACCAGCTTTTGCCTATGGAAGTATGCAAGTACTTGCTCCCCTTGGCTGTACTTCGCAGTTTTTGGTAGCTTCAGTTTCTGCAGGGGCATGCATGTGTTTTGCTGAGTTGCTCCTTGCAGCTCCTTTACATCCAGGAGCTTTTACGCCTTATTAAAATACAGAGATAAAACTGCTTGCTGAGCAGCAGAATTAAGAGATTCCTGTGAAATCGTTACACTTCTCTTTCCTTTTCCCAATTCAAATAGCATAACGCACCCTCAGTTTTCTCCTTGTTCCTCCTCTTTCTCTCTGTGTTTTCAATGACATCCCCGCTAGTTGAGAGAGTATCCTGGGTTCAGTCTGGAGCTTTACACGTGCTACAGATGGACTAAAGGCTCTGCTGACAAGGCTCTATCTCTTCTGCCTCTTCATTTGTGTTGTAAAAGTTGATTTTTCTTTGAGACTTCTTTTTCTTTTAGTGTGTTTAAACTGCTCAATGAATTGCTGGAGGAGAGAGAAGAGAGAAGGGGTAGCAATAAATAAGCCTTGTTCCTAAGCTGGTAGCCAGGCTCCCTGACAACAAAATGAAACTGCCACTTCCTCCTTCTTCTGCAAGCAAATGGGTAGTAGATCTACCACCTTAGCACAGGACTAGGGCCATGGTATGTCAGAATTGAAGTGGCGTGTGTTGGGGGACAACTTCAGAAGCATCCTCATGATTCACTGGGTGATACGCTTTGATCTCTGCTAGCCCTGAGCCAGCATTCACGCAAAAAATGAAAAGCCCGACTATCAAAGAGGGTGACGTACCTGTCACCTGACCACATGCAGGTCACTAAATACTGCTCTGGGTAAGAGTTACCATTTTGGCTAAATTCCAGCACAGGTAATCGCATTTGCTCTTCCTAATTTTTCCTTTGCAGATTCAGGTAGTCTTCTGTCCTTCAAAATGGTGCAGAAGAGTAGAGCTGCAGTTGCAGAGTTTGTTATATTTCCTCGGTTGATAAAATTACTCTTGAGTGTAGACTGTAAGTGGTAAAGCTTTGTTTTAATGTCTCATATTTAAAAAAAAGTGAACATACATCCTTGGAAATTTTATATGAATTGTGTCCAGTGGGTCCAGGCACTTATTTTGTTGATGTGTGGGAAGCTTTATTGCAGCAGGCACTGACTTAGGCTGCCTGTGGGTCGTGCAGGGGGCTGTGCTCTGCCCTGTGAGCCCTGCACAATGCAGCACGTGTGGTCTGGGTCATACGATGTGGCTGAGCAGAGCTTCCTCGCCTCTGCTGACCCGTGGTGTAGTGAGATTTGCTTCTGACGAGTACAACTGTGCTTCTGCGATACGGACATATGATAGAAACAGATATTTAAAAAAAAAAAAAGTTTTACATTGCCCTTCTAAGTGACGGACATTTTCTAATGCACTATATTCACTGGACCTTTTCTGTAGCAAATGCACAGCATTGCATTTTATACACGCACATGTAAAGTTACTTGTGGGAGAGAGTATTAGAGCCCTGTTGAGAAGGTTTCTCAATTTTTTGCAATATGTCAGTACTCAGAACAGAACAAAACTTCATACACATTTAATTCCTCACACATTTGAAGAAATATGTGAGCCTTTTTGCTGATGTTATTTGAGAACCAGTCCCTTTTCATCACTGTGCTCTTGAAAAAAGCAGAGACAGTTTTGAAGCTAGTGCACAGTAAAAAAATGGGTAGCAATGTGAGCGTTGTGTGCTACCATAACTGTTGAAAGTAAGAATTATTTTTTTTTCCCACCTTGTTTGCTTTGAGTATCTTAGAGCAAGTGTAAGAGTTACTCAAAGTTAACTGATAGTCTTCTGTATTCCTGTGTGTATTCATATTTTGTGAGGGTCTGTTTGGTGCAGAGGTTGGTGTCTGCTTGCTTTTGTTCTCCGATGCAGTGTTTGGTACAGCCAAAGCACATGTTTCACTTCATGGTTTGTCATCTTTGCGTAACCAGATGTCAATGCAATGTGTGCTGCAGGTGGTAAAACTGTAGACTTTGATCAAATCCATGAATTGTTCTAGGCTTGGCGTTCTCCAGAGCGTGCTGCTCATCCAGTTGATGCACTGGTGCTGGCTTTTACATCTATCGTTGAGCCAACCAAAACCTGTAAAGTAGCAAGTAAGCAAAATGTCTGTGGGGACTGATGATGTGAGAAAGCTTTTGTGTGTCACCTGCTCCGAGCAGTCCATAAACGGATCTGACTTTCCGAAGCGTGGCCGTCCCTGCTGCGGCAGGGCAGCGTTGGCATGTGACTGCTGCGGAGCAGACAGAGGGCAAGGATTCAACCTAGAGCTGCCCTGGCGTGAAGGTGTTGAGGCAGGCGGGAAGAAAATGTCAAAATCCCATGATAATTTCAAGCTCTGTTAGAAATGATCAGTGAAACCAGTATTTTCCAGCTGAAGATAACATCAAAGACAGTATTTATTTGCTAGTGTTGCAAGGCTTGTAGTTTTATAGTTCTCTTTTAACTTCTATAATTAAAAATGTATAAAACTATGCCAACTATTCTTCTCTGCTTGGTGAATTCACACCCTTTCCATATTCTCCCATGTAGGTCTTGTTTTCAGTGGTACAGGCAGAGATGTAGCCAGGGCCTGAATCTTGTGCCAGTAAGTCAAACCTTCCTCTCTTGCCTGAGCCTGGCCTGCCCGTGGGTCTGGAGGGAAGGAGCTTGTCCTACCCCTGCCTGCCATACTGCTTGTAGAGACAGAAGATGACAACTTCTGGTAGGGTTAAGCTGCTATTTACAGCACTGGCTTTCTCTAAAATTGTTGCAGACCTCTGGAACAGCCTGCTTTGGATTTCCGTAGGTGGCAATGGCCACTCTTTAGTGTGTCTGAAGTCCTGAAAGTCAGCTTTTCCCACTGCATTAGAAAAATCAGCACATGTTGTTTGATTAAGTTCTGGCAGTGACACTTTTCTCTGGTTTTGTATTGGTTTTCTGTATGTAATCCACCTCTGATGTGACAGCACACATTTTCAGAAGTCTTTTTCTTTCCAGCAGTCATTCCTTTCATTAACCTTCTTGCACCACTGATCACATTTATTGTCCCCGTGGCCTATAACTGTGAGGGTTTCACTAGAATTAATCTGCGTTTATATTTGGTCACCATTCAGTGAGTTTTACATCCTTTGAAAACTGCTGTAAAGCTATTTCTGATCGTGAAGTACAGTGGCCTTAATGCTCTTAGTATTTATCCTAACTGACAACTTGGGCCAGAACACAGGGCAGGACACTACATTACTTTGGTATAGCATTAGTTTACCTTCCGGCATTGTCGGCCTTAATTAAGATGCAACTGGAATTTTCCAGGGGAAAGGTGCTGCTGTTTACATGACTCTGCTTGAACAGGGTCAGTTAAATTTTCTTTAATTGGTTTTCAATAGTCAATTTCATTATCTTCTCCCCTCTTTTTTTTTTCCCTTGGAAAGAGATCTGTGCACTTCTGACTTTCTAACAAAGACTTATTCTAACAGAGACTTTAATGAAGTAGAAACCCCCATGGTTTCACACTATTTGAAAGCGTGAAGTGAAAAAACCAACTAGAAACGTTGACTTTCTGGAAATCACAATACCAAAATTTTGTGTCTTCAATCGCTTGTGGAGGCAAAGGAATCAAGAATATTCCTTCTCCTGCCTGACCAGGTAGTGTGTAGAAGTATATGTTGGTCATCAGTGAATAAATAAATTGTGTGTACTTTAAAATGCCTTACTTGGTTTCTCTTCAGATTTTTCAAAAATACAGAAAACTTGATAGCTTTGGGACACAAAACACCTTAAGTAATAGCTATGCTAGATAGCTTTTAGAAGAGTCCATATTCTTGTTTTCTTTAAGCTGGGTTATGATTTTTTCTGTTTAAATACTTTTCTGTCAGATGTAAGATGTTCCAGTCTTAATCCAAACAGGCATTTTGCCTAATGCCAAATAGGCATCGAGTGCCTGACTTCAATCAATAAGCCCCTGGGTGCTTAAATGCTTTTGTGGATCTGGTTCTTGTTTATGGAGGAGCAAATGCCCTTTGGAAAAGAAGATTAAAAATAGTTGTTTAGGTGCCTTGAAAACTCCTACTTGATTTCATTCCTTCCTACCGGTTCTGACATGGGATGCAATTAGCCTTGTGTCTAGGAGATGGACAGAAAGGGTGGAAGAGGTGAATTGTCCATCCAGAAACCTATGCTTGCAAATGTCTGAGGCTTTAGTCACCAGATCAAATCTAGGGGCCGAGGCAGGGTTTTTCCAGGATTACTGTGCCTATGGCCATGTAGTCATGAGCTGACATGGTCGTAATTGTACCAACACCCTCTTCATCCACTGAGATGTGTTTCTGCACTTGGTTCCTCTCCACCCCCTTGTCCCCTGGAAGCATTCCGTAGGTCACGGTGTGCAGACGGGAGTGTGTCCTCACACAAGCAGCAGGTACAGTGCCTGGCCTCACCACAAAACCTGAGCGTTGTTGTACCCACCCCAAATTTGAGGAAGATTCCAATAAGACAGTGCAATCTCCTTGGGTTGGGCTGTGTTCAAGGGACAGCTTGTATCTCTTCTTTCAGTGCATATCCACGGTTCCTTCAGGACTGTGGTTAGGGGAAAACTGTACATACTTGCATTTAAAAGGAACAGCAAAGGATAAAGACAACAGAGGAAAGTAAGGCAAACGCCGTAATTTTAGGCACTGTGCTTCAGGTTCTGCCTGCATGCCTGTTATTAAAGCCTATTGCTCGTTAGCCGCAGGGAAAAAATGCCAGTAGAAGAGCAGCTTTCGAGGCTGAGCTCTGTGCTTTATGGTTTGCCTCCTAAGCTTGCGCAAAACTACCTGAAGTTTCCTGCCCAAAGCTGTTGGTGTTCCAGGAGTGTCCCTGTGTGGTTCCGGCGTGGATCTGGTCTGTAGAGGGAACAGATGACGAGCTGAGACCTGCTTGGAGGTTCGTGTTCCTGTTGCTTGTGGCCTGGCTGACTTCAGCTGCCTTGCAGAGGGCAAATGTTCGGGTGGCGTGAGCTTAACGCTGCGTCTGGTCCGGAAAGTCACCCTCGGAATGGCACCGAGGGGGGAGTGCATTGCCTTGGGCGCAGCGTTGGGAGCTGCAGGTGATGGAGGTGTTGATCGTTTTGTGAATAGGATGAATCCTCTCACAGGGGTAGATCTGTCCCTTCACCTCGTCTCTGGATGTAATGGTACAAGATGCAGCTTCTTTCTAGAAAGAATTCTCCTTTCTTTTAGTTCTCATTCCTGAGTGCAAGTGAGCTGTAGAGGTGAGAGTGTTTCGATGAGGACTACATAAGCTGTTTTATAATATATTTAGTACTGTTTGATGTCCAATCTTGCATAGAAAGTAGGGGATGGTGTAGAAAGACAATGGTAATATTTGATAGCAAGGTTTATGTTTATCACAGTATATATTTTGAGGGTTTGCACAGGAAGGTGAGACTGCTGTGAAATAAAATGTGAGTATAAATGTTGTTATAATGGTAACCTTCCCTGGGGATGCTTACCCTGGTGTAGGGGTACATCCTCTGTGTAGTTCCTTGCCACAACCCCACCACCCAGCATTTTGAGTGGATGTTTTCTTCCCAGTGTGCCTGTACAACTGTGCAAACACGCTTCCAGCTTGCAGCTTGCTCTGGTGCTGCTCCTCCGCGGGCACCCGCCGCTCTGTACGGGCGGGAGGGGGCTGGAAGTCGCTTGTTCTGCGGCGCAAGCGCGGGAGCTGCCGTGCCTATGCTGTGGGCAGGAGTTAGTGGTCCTGGAGGTTTTGCAAAGGAGCCGCGTTCCGCAGATGGGCTGTCCGGCATCCTGCGGGGCAGCTGGCTTGTGCAGCTTCCAGTCGCTGAAACCGGTGGGACCAGTTAGCCAGACCGCAGGTAAATGGTGTCAGGAGCGACATGGCATTTCCTTGAACACGAGGTGTGCTGCCCTTGGTTCTTGTGCTGGTGGAGCTGCAGGGAGTGCTGCTCCCTCTGTAGGCTTCCCATCGGGAGCGGTTCTTGTGGGGAGGTCTCCACCTGGGAAGGTATCTGGAGGGGATTTGGAAGTGATTGTGCTCATGTGGCATCTCCTGGGTTTTGGAAGGGGGAGAGACCTTTTGTTTTGTATGTGAAAATCAGGCTTGTTTTATTTACTAGCTTGGCGCTTCCTAAAATACACTGCTTGCCAGTGTGAGCAATTAAATGGTAAGTGAGAGAATACCCCTGCTTCTTCACCGTGGCCTTGGAGATTGACCTGTGAAGCCAGGCTGAGGTGTCCTGGGCACTTCAAAGGGCGCCACTGTACAACTGTATCGTTAAGGGAATGTTCAAGTGATCATCCAACCAATTGTCATATGACCCAGGCTTTGTTGAAAAATCAGTCTTGCTGATCAGTCTTCTAAAGCCATAAGCCTTGATGTGTGGCCTTGGTCTAAGTAAGTGCTGGTTGACTAATCTAAGTTACTTGGGAAGTTTTATAAGAATTATCAGTGAAACAATGCCTTCTGGAAGATAAGCCCTCCCTTGTTAAGCAATGACATAGCTCCCTGATTTTAAACCCCATCATCTTTTATACTTGGGCGCATTGCTAAGCCTCGTAATTAGTTAAATCTGCTCCTATAATCAAAAGCTATCCGCACACTCCACTGCTCTGTGACGGTTTCAAAGATTTACGTGATTAACTTGGCGGAGGCAGTGGGTGGCTAATTGGATAAGCTTTAATCTTCACACCACCAAAGCGAAACATGGTAAGATCAGAGGAAGTAGGAAGTTATGCTGTGTTGTGTGGGAAGGTAGTTACCAAACATGTCAAAAAGATTGTTGTAACGAGCAGGCCAGTTGTCATGACCCAGCCTACAAGAATAGGGCAGACTATTAGAGGGGAGGAAGAGAGTGAGTGGTGCAAATTATTTCAAATTTGCTTGCCTTGGCTTTTTTTTCCACAGGGAGAAATAGTTGTGCTCTTTTTAGCAAGCAGAGAGCTTTATGTTCCATTTGCTTTATTTAAGTAATTTTGTCAGATGTTGTTAACCCTAGATTTTGAGTGCTTGCTAATTGAACTGCAGAACTGGGTGGACTGTAATGATCTTTGCGTCTTTAGAAGTGTCATACTGCCACTGTGTTTAGGTTTGTGAGCCTGGTAGCAGTTGTGAGACCAGAAAATAAAAGATTGTATTTAATCCCCCAAAGTAATGAAGGAAAGCTAGGTAAATGTATTTTACAGTTTTACTGTATTTCAGGTGTCTGTATCTTAGGGAATCAGGCTTGATCAGACAACCTTGATGAATACCTGTAACTTCCAAAGGCAGCGCAAAGGGCGGGAATGCAGAAGGCTGCCAGCTCCTCCGTCAGAAGTTGCCGGTGCCGGGCGGCTGGTCGCTGGCACAGCGGGGCAGGCCGGGTGCTGCTCCCGCGCCCTCGGGACGCCTGAGGGAGAGGTGGGGATTTACAATAACTGCTTTTAGTCCTGTTGCAAAAAAAAAAAAAATGGTGGTTTTTTGATTCTGACAAGTCCATTACGTTGAGATGAGGTTAAATGAACGTGTTAAAATTTTAAATGAGAGGAGGTTAAGTGTTCTCGAATTGAACTGCTGTGAATGCAGTACAGAGTGTGCAGTGTGCTGCGCACAGACGAGGGCGTACGTGCCTGTACTTTATGGATGGTCCAAAACTCATGTGGCGATGAATTTTTCATCAGTGTTGATTCATCTCACGGCCAGGAGATGTCTCTAGTTCACCATAATTCCACAAGGACTTCTGAGACAAGAGTTCTGGATTTTACTTGAATACCCTTGCTGTAAAACTTCAGTCATTCCTCCTCAGAGCCAAACCTGGTGTCGGCAGGGTGTGTTAACTCCTCCCAGCTCCACTGATACTTGGGCAGAGTTAACTTATTTTGATACAGGGTTTTGACCACAAAATGATTTTAAGCATATGTGTGTACCATACTTTTCAGTGTATCTAACAGGGAAGGGACCTGGACTCAATTATTAAAAAAAAAAAAAAAAAAAAAAAAAAATTGGGTCTGAGCGTAATTTAAAAGTTTTGAGAATTTGAGAGATCCTAAAAATGCTCACTGACCTTGTTTTGTTTGTGGAAGTGCTTTTGGAAATAACAGGGCAAAGGTAAAAATGAGAATAAAATAGTTTGAAAAAAGCAAGACTGAAAGCCAAAACTCTTACTTCTGTACTGCTGTTGAGGAACTGATGACTCTTCCCCCAAATGTGAGTTGCAGTTTTGGGTTCAAGTGACTCACAGTCTGTCATATAATGTTTTTCTTGTAGAAGAAACCAATGAAAGGCTGAAGGGTGGAAACCAGAAATCTGGTATTGAGAAAAATATTTAAGTGGCATTTCATTTTACTACCTGAATTTATGTGCCCTGGACATGAAAAACTTGTTTTCCGCTGTAACCAGGGAAGTGTCTATAACGCAAACAACCTCAAGTCATAATTCTTTAAAAAGAAAACCTGTAACTGCATTACTCTTTCACTTAAGAGCGTGTGTGCCTGGTTGCTTGTTCATGTTGATGCCAGACTAGGAAATGCAGGAGAGTAACTGTGTGACTTCCATCTACAGTTTTTGAAATGCAGAAATGTTCCCTTGAAGGTTTGGTCAGGATTGCAGAGAATTAATAGTCTCTTCTGATTTGCATCTGTATTAATGCGTTGATCCTTTTACTGTTGGAAGCTTTCAGGCTGTACCTTAGTGTTTTTATAAGTCTGTGTTTTGTTCACATTGCAAATATATGAATATGTGTATCCCCAGTAATCCTATTCTTTTTGTAGCAGTTTTGAATGCTGTGGGTTCTACATGCAAACAATATGAGTATCTTATACATGGTGAAAGGTATACCATACATTGTAGCATAATTGGTCACTATAAAATTAATTCTCTCCATGCTCTACCACTTCTAGACGGTGTTATGGAGCCTGTGAGATATATTTGTTATTGGGGATCGTTGGATTCTTTTTGGCTTAATTTCTTCTACAATTGCAGAGAATCACATAGAGTGCAACAAATCCATACACGTCTGTCTGTCAGCCGGTCTTGCAAGCGCAGATTACAAGATTAATGGGTTTTGTGTTGAAAATTACTTACTGAAGTTATTTTCAGATCTAGCCTAATGACGGGAGGGGTCAAACGAGGTGTAACCAACCCCTGGCTCTTGGAAGAATCTGAGGACACCAGAGGGCTTGGCTTTGACGATCTCAGGCAGCAGCAGCGAAGGATCATAGAAGGTACGAGAGTCTTTCTGTTTTTTGTAAGCATCTCTAGGACTCTGAGAGGAGCCCGTATTAGAAAGTCAGTACAGCAACCTGTGCTGAAGTTTTATCTGGAGATGTCAAACATACTAGCTCCAGGTGGATGTTTTCTGTATTTGCAGGAGCGGTATTGTGCTTGCAATATTCTTAACTGAAAGCATCTTCTTAAGTCAAATTTTCAAACACCTTACAGGGCGTCCCTGATTTTGACCACGTTCACGGTTTTGTTTTGCAGTAGAGATCTCATTAACTTGCACTGAGTGTAGTGGTAGTACTGCTGTGCTTCAGGCTGGGGTGCATTAGATGTATTGCTGAATTGGAATGAGGTGAGAATTAACTAAGCCAAAAAAATTAAATGCAATTCAAGTATCAGAAGTGATCAAATGAAATCAGTCTCCAGATAAGGCCCGCTTCAGTCTGCATGTGAAACAACATTTATAGCTACAGTTCAGGAGAATGGTATGAACTCTGGATGGTCCGGGAGAAACCTCAAGCTCCAGTTTTTGATTAAACCATAGGTATCCTTTGGGGAGGCTGAAGGAGATATTGGGATCCAGACCTTCATCCTGGGGGATGGTCTGGCCATCCTGCACAGTTTCTGGCTCCCGGACTGCAGTCATACTCTGTGCAACATGGCTGCTTTGCAGTTTGTCAGACCACTGACAGTCCAGCCTTCAGCACCTCTTTTTGTTCTACTTCTTGACAGCTTTGGGCAAGTATGGCTGCACATTTTAGTTAAGGTGCTGACTAAGGACTGCGTGGTACCTGCAAAGTGGAATAGCCGAGGTGATACGGTTCTTAATAAAGGAGTGTCTGCAGAGCTCGTGGGAGCAAAACTTTATCTGCCCCTCTCTGTGTCCCCTCATTCTCAGGCTCTCTTCCATGCACGCTGTATCCTCTTGCAGCTTTAAAAATCTATTTGGATTCTTTGGTGTTTGCATCACCTGTTTGTCTTTTATTCATGTTAAAAGTTTCTTGGAAAATTTAAAAAGGCTAATCAGGGATTGCTCTGTGTGTGCCAGAAAATCTCCTGCATTTATGATTGAGTAACAGCTGAATGTTGAATTCTTGTTTTTTTGGGAGGGGGGAAGGGCACACACACCCTCAGCTAAATGTCCTAGCCAGAGCAGACAAATTAATTACCCACCATTCACATTATTTTAAAAGTACTGTTGCCATAAGGATTCATTTTCATGTTGTGTTGATGGATGTTTCTTAATACATTTAACTCTTTAGGCACTAAGTAGATCCTCTTCACTTCTACATCTATTATGGTATATAGCCTTCCATATAATTTTATATATATTTTTCTGGTGCAGAGCAAGATGCTGGACTTGATGCTCTTTCTTCAATCATATCCCGGCAAAAGCAGATGGGGCAGGAGATTGGGAACGAGCTGGATGAACAGAATGGTAAGAACAAGATTCATAGAGACTCATTTTGCCTTATTTTTATATAAGATTGTGATTTATTTTTTTTTCAGTCATACAACTGCACTGCTTTTTGCCCACAGAGTAACAAGACAATACAGTAAAGGATTATGTACAGACAACCACTACAGATTCTATCCATTCATGACCTGGTGGTTTTATTGTGTTTCACTGCATAACCTGTTGTGTGTACACAATGTATAACACTTGGTATATTTTTATCAAGCTTGCCTTTTGAAAGAAAGGACTAGTGATTATTGTACAAAGTACAAAATTAATTTTGTACTCAGTCGTCAGCATTTTTCAGTTTTGTGACAGTTTTTATGATAAGCTTTTATGTGTTGCTGGGTTTCACTTGAGCATTCCTATTCTGTCTTTCCTTATTAACTAAATGGAAAAGTCTTGAGCCAGTGATTAAAGGAGAAATGTTGTATTGTTTGCTACAAATGACTTGGATTTTGAATGTTTCATGGCATTGAATGTAGGATCAAATTAAGTGCAATATTGAACTAGAAGAGTACCTATTTTCTTTAAAATGAGCCAGCATCCAAATGGTGGAATTGCTCTCCTGTTAAATATGCTTTGTTACTCACTTAATTGTTCACATGACATAAACTGTCCCTAGGAGAGCCAGATCCTCCAGTCTTTCTGACTTTTTCATTTCTTACAATATGGTAATAGTTCAATTAGAGCCTTGGAACCCCTCCAGCTTTCTCCCATACACAAAGGCTTGAGCCATATGGTTTATCCTTGGGTTGTGTTGTACTTAACCACTGAGAAGGTAAATGTCCTTTTACTTGCTAATAAATGATACGCTTAAATCGGCTTCTTCCCGCACCTATACTTTTTTTTTCCCCTTGTATTTCTCTGCATGTCTGCTCAGAGCGAGGGGGTTCCCGTATTAACAATCACGTAACATGAAGTACTACTTGGGAGCTCCGTTCCAACTGAGTGTGAAGTAAGAGGACGGCTTTCTCATGTTTGCCTTGCATACATGGCTAAATCCAGGAGGGATATGAAATGTCTAGAATATGTCTTTGTTTATTAATCTTAAGGTTGTTAAGATATGGTTTGTGCAGCTGGGAGAAACTATGCTTAGTGGTCTTGTCATATTTTGATCCTCTGCCTCATGCAAGTAAAGACATTTTCAATTAGAAATCTCAGTTTCATGAGTTTCTTCTATTAACCATTGTTTAAAAAGTCATATTAATTGCTTTTTTTGTTCTAAATAGAAAACAGGTGGGAAGCATGAGCATGTTTACCAATTCTCTGTGAAACCTTGGTTTCTCATCAGGAAAATATATGATCTATGTCCCATTTCCCTCTGTTGGGGGTAAGGGAAGGTTCCCTAAATCCTTATGCTTTTGGGACCCTGAAGGTAATGTGTATTGTACCATTGCATTTCTGCATGACCATGCCAGACTTTTTCTAGCAGTGAAGCCTTGAAACATCTGTGAAATTAGGAGTGCATTTAACTCTCCTTTTTGCAAATAATGCCAGTTTTGTTTGTCTTACAGATAGTTACAAATCCTAGAGCAAAATTCTTAATGTTTTCATGTGAGCTCTTTTTTGAGCTACAGGCAACTCTTTCTGAAAAGAAGGAAACTTTCCCGAGTGCTCAGAGTAAGAAGCGGTGAGGATTGCCTGTTGCTAACTGCGGGCCAGATCCTGGCTGGGGGAGGAGAAAACGCTGAGTTGCCTCTGCTTCTCACTGTCCTAGAATCATGAGAGTAAAACCTGCCAGTCATGTAGAGTGCATCGTTTGTAGATCTTTAAGCAGTGGGAGATAGGCTGACCCTACGAACCGGAGGCACAGATCGCTCAGGGCTTGGCTTCATCACTACTGAGCAAGTGGAACTCCCATGTTTTTTCTCTGACTTCAGGCAATCTTTCCTTTTGTGTATACAAGGGGATATGGTTGGGCATTTTTTTTTGCCACTGGCACACTAGAAAAGCTGGAATCCTTTGCAATATTTTCCAGAGCCTACTTTCCTTTTGCACATCTTATTTCGTACCCTGTGCTTAACTATCTACAGACTTTTCTCAGGCGCTCTGCCAATCTCGTGTCACTGTTGCACAGTCAGGTTGATGAGGATAACTGCCCTGTAATTTCCCCTTACTTGGAATCTCTTTCCCTCCTCGTGCTGAGTGATAATGGCATCGTCTGTATTGTGGGAAGGCAGGGGAAGTTCATCTTCATTAAGTGCTGCATCAAGATTTCTTTTTATCCGAGTCAAATTTTCCATCAAATTGCCTGTTTCAGTGGGAAGCTTGACTTACACTTCCCTGACCTGCTTTGGATGTTCCCACCTTCTGCAACTGATTAGGTGCCTTTAGGTTGTTCTGGAGTTATGATAAAATATGGCTTAATTGAGAAGTAGCTGATAATGTCTGATAGTTAATGAAACAGACTTTAGGGAGCTGGGTAACTGTGCTTATTTTCCAGACAAGTTTTTATTCAAGCCTGCTTATTTCCTTCCCTAGCAGCTCAGTCTCTGTTCAGTTGAGGTATTTGCACTTCCCAGCTCTCTGAGGTGGCCTGAGGCATTTTCCCTTGAGTGCCAGTTGGTGTAGCTGTGCATTTGCAGATGCACGAGCATTGGAGGCACCCCGATTAATTATGCAAAGTTTACTTCTCAGTAGAGTTGGTACATGTAAATTCTTTTGTGTTTGTTAAATGACTGAAAAATGATTAAACTTTGCTTTTAGAAGGGTAGTTACTTGGCGGTATCTATTTTTACTTCACTGGTGGGCTGACAGGCAGTGACGAGGAGTAATGTTGGAGGTTGGTAAGAGGGCATCCTGCAGACGGGCCGGGCTGCGGTGCTGGCTGTGCTCTCCCGGAGAGTCGGTGCTTCTCCTGGGCAGGCTGGGGTAGCTCCCCGTCCCTGCAACGCCCCGTCTTTCAGCTCATCTCTCCGAGCTTCCTCCACGGTCAGCAGACACCTGCAGGGACTGCTCGGGTGTGATCCCTGCAGCCTGCCCCGCACACCCGCCCCGGAGCAGGGCACAGCCTGCCCACGTTTCCCCGCAGGGTGGAGCGAGCCCGGGCTCCGACGGAGGCGGCTGCTTTGCCAACATCTGCCCTGAGCAGAGGAGTCTCATCCTTTGATTTTGTTGTAATGTGTCCAAATTTTAATTGGACTCTCATGTCGTTCTTTACTCAGATTTTCAGTATAGCTCTATCCTTGGGATTTTATGGCTCTGCTCAAAGCTGATGGTCCTTTTCAAACCTCCTGAGCACGCAGGGTTTTGCACTGGATGAGCAAAGTAGAAGCAGGGTACCAGAAGACATTGTTTTTTTTCCAGCCTCAGGAGTCTGCTAGCAGTGGGAGAGATGGGGGATTAGCAAAAGAATTTTCCCATCATTAGTTCCAAATTTGGCCCCAGAAAAACTTTCTGTAATCCTTTCATCTGTTACACAAAAAAAAAAAAAAATAAAAAAAAATAAAGAAAATAGTGTAAATGGCCTCTGGCCCTGTTGATGAGGCAATCTCATCTAGTGCAATAATTTTGGAAGAATGCTTTCAGAAATTCAGAATGCTGTTTGTTTTACCCTTATAGAGATGTTGTTTTCTCATTGTGACATGCTTGCATGAGAATATAGTGCCCTGTGATGGATGGTAAATATTGGTAGCTTGCAAAATTTGTTGTGTTTGGCATTTTTACTGTGTCACTCTGTTTGGTATACACCTATGAGGATGGATTCTTCTGCTTCTGGCTCCTTTAAAATTTATGTCAGAGCATAAATATGTTCATAAATAGATAAGCAGCAAAACCAGACCACTGTTTACACCGTTTCACTGGTCAAGAGAATTCTGTACACAGAGTGAATATCCGGGATGTTCTTAACCAGAACGGATCATTTTAAGTAAGTCATCACTTACAATGATGCTTTAATTACACGGTTATGTAACATTTTTAATTTCTTGTCAAAATCAAATTTCTAAAACCAACCAAAAATTGAAGCATTATGTATTCTATTTTTTTTTTTTTTTAATAGCTCTGCAATTAAAGGTTGCTCTGTCACCTCTGGTCATAGTGGGTGGCACACAAGCCTCCAAGGTGGACTCAGCTCAGCCTTTCGTTCGGTGCCAGTTCAATAGCCAAAGTCTGTGACTTGCCTGGTATATGATTTTTTGTTAACCTGACAGGCCTCCATCAGAATGGAATTTAGAGACTCCACTTGAGACTGAAGCCCTGGTCTGGCTGTTGCTCTATACGTCCATAGAAAAGTATTCTTCTGAAATCAAAGAGAGTGAGTGAAAGTATTCCTGGGGATGCAGAGACTTGTGGAAAACAGCATCAGAAATTATAGTGCAGCAGAGATGCGATTCATCTCTCCTAGGGCAGTGTTCACCCACAAGTCTATCGCTTTTGGTGCAGTTAGCCCAGTCAGTATATGTACAGTAAAATGCTTCTCCTAAAGATTATTTTACATGGCTGTTGCATAATCAAAAAGGAACCCTGAAGTCGTTTCACATTTCTGTTTATTGAGAACATTTTTGCTATAATACAAACTAATTAGCATTGTGTATGGAATATGTTTGAGTTAGGAGACTAAAACCAATAGGGCTGTGGATATATTATGTCATTGTTAGGATTAGTTTGTAAATAAGAAATGATTAAAGATTAAATTTTTTAAAAATGTTCACCATCTTGTCTAAACAATGTATGTTTTCATCATATAGAGTTACAACTCTGCACACTTTGACCCCCTTCTGAGATGGCTGAAGTCTGCTGGTCACTGGGATTTGAAGGTAGGTGTTCAGCATTCCTTGAGAAAAGCTGAGCACCAGCAGCTTCAGATTTTCTGAAAACATCTACAGAGAAGCATGTGTTTTTAATATTCAGATGTAAAATAACCATCCATAGGCTGACTGACCTTGTACTATGCAGATTTTTATTTTGCTTCCTGAGCTTATTGTATGGAATAGCAATGACTTCAGTTTTACTGGGGAAGTGTTCTGTCTTTATTGCAT